TGGCGGCCTGACGCCGCCATCGTAGTAGAGCGTGCCGAGCGAGGCCGTGCACCTGATGACCGAATACTCCTTCGGGGAGAGCGCCAGTACGCCACAGTCCTGCTGAGATTCGAGCCTGCTGTGCAGTGCTCCGTAGTCGGTGTATCTTGCGAAACCTAGCTGCGGCTGAGCTCTGTCGCTTCCTGGCTTTGGCTTGTACCCGTCGAGTAGCCGCCGCCGCGTCAACGCCGAGGTCGACGGCCGTGGCGGTCGCAGTAACTGGGATGTCGTACTGCCGCAACTTCTTGGCTAGCGATTTGCGGACCTTGGGGGTGGAGCCGATGAGGACCGTCTTGTCAGAGATAGGCAGCTCGAACTCCTTTAAACCGTCGCAGAGCGTCTTGGCGGCACGGGGGAGGTGCTTCTGTAGCGTGCGTAGGACTCCTTCGACTCGAAGAACAGTGTCGTCTACGAAGGTCCACATCTGGGCAAGCTCTGCCTGGGCTTGGGCTTGCCGTAGAATAGGAAGTAAAATGAGTCGTGCCAAGGTCGTGCCGTGAGGGGAGCCTGCAATGATGCCTTTGGAGGCGAGGATAGGCACACTCACCCATTGTCGACTGCGCAAGAATCTGGGCGCCAGGTATAGCTGTACTTCCAGTAGTAGAATGATGGGGGGAAAGCCGCAGTTGAGGCCGACCATAATGAGGTTGGCGAGCTTGATATTGTCGTAGAACTTCTGGATGTCTAATAGCAACGTGGCTGACTGTATGCCAAGTGCTGAGGCTGTCTCGTCTAACAAGGCCCTATGTAGGGCGGCCTGGAGAGCTGAGGAGCCTTTGATGGCTGTAGTCCTCAAGTCGTCCAGGCCTTGGGTCCAGGATGTAGATGCAGTCGATCTGATGCGAGACCAGAGTCTGGCCATGTGAGGTAGCATGCCGAGGACCCTGTCGCCTCCAGACTTCTTGGCTGCGAGGGCTGCAATAGTGCCTGAGATTTGTAGTGGCCAGATGCCTGCTTGCTCTACTGCGTTGAGGATATCCGCATAGGCTTCGACTGCTGGTTCTGGTAGTCGATGGAGGTCGCGAGGTCCAAGGGCGTCAACTCCATGTGCTTTACTGGGTGGCATGCGGCCGTGAAAGCGGTGTACGATCTCGGCTGTGATGGGCTCGAGCGGTTGGCGAGCGGCTGCTGCCTTGGCCTTTGACAGTGCCTGTAAGATGTCGTCGGGGGTCTCGGTGGCTTGCCATACGTGTTGCCATTGTTGCTTCTTGTCGTCCATGATAACGGCGGGGTCGGCGATGGTCAGGTTGGTCGTGTAGGCCTCGATGTGACGTACGGGCGCGGGCTTGACATGGGCGTGTAGTACTCCAGGGCGGTGTTTCCATTGCTTGGCGAGCCAAGCACCGTATGCCCTCTTGGACTTGGCGAGGGCGGCGGAGAGCGCTCTGGAGGCCCAAGTAGCGGTAATAGTGACCAAGTCGTCGGTGTCCTCATTGTCCAAGTGCGGGGCCCAGACGAGTGCAAACCAGCGGAAAATGGTGTCCTCGTCCTTCTCGAACTGGAGGTCGTGAAAGTGAGTGTTGAAGTGGTCCGCGCGCTGCTGGATGATGGAGGCCTGCTGCTGCATGAGCGCTGTGTGCTTGGGCTTGTCGAGAAGCGCAGCGTAGCGCTTGATGAGGGTGAGCGTGATTGCCCACCATTCCGACTGAGGGTCATGTACGTGTACGCGGCCTGGGGCGGCGGCCGTCTTCTTCCAAGACAATTGGTAGCCTTGGGCTCGGCCTGTGTATGCTGCGGCTTCCTTCGGGTCGATCTGGTGGTGGCTGATCATGGTGTTCTCGAGCGCCGTGACCCATTTGGCGTACTTGAGGTTGAGGTCGTCGGCGTCGTGCACCCAGTGAGTGTACGCGAAGTGCGCGTGGGGCTGCTTACAACGTGTGGGCACAGCTTGCTGCCATTGTTCCTCCCACAGGTCCCTCGGGATAGCGTAAGGGATAGGTTCCTGTGCTGCGGGCTCGTCTTGTGGCTGGAGTTGTGCTGCTGCTTGTTGGAGTTCAGGAGGTAGATCGCGTAGGCGTGCTGCTCGAGCTTCTGCGGTTTTACGTTTCTTGATGGCGGTCTTGCTGTTGGGGTCTGGTGGGATCCTAGGTCTGTCCACTGTGGGGAATGCCCTGGGGGTATGGATCGACTGATACCACCAGGGGTCTGCACTGCCTGATCGAACTTCAAGGCCAACATGGGTGGCCCAGGGCACGGTGGGGCACTGGCGAATGGAGATCGTGTGCTCGATGCCAGTCTTGACCAATGCGAAGTCGAGCGTGAGTCCCTGACCCTTGTCGCACGTGGCGGATCCAGGCGCTCGCACAATGGTAGCATTCCATTTGGCGGGGCACTCTGTCGCTGCGAGCTGCTCAGGTGTCATATTCCAATCGGCCAGGATGATCCACGGGTCCGTGAGCATAGTAACGAAGGCTCCCAGCGAGAGTAACTTATCGTGCACGGCACCCTCGATCTGCCTGTGGGGTTCCAGATACGCTGCAATAACGACCAGGTTGCCAGAGCGTCTGTGCCATACCATGGGCGTGAAGCCGCGGAACGGGTCGGGCCTGCGCTGGGGGATGGCCAGGTCGCGGAGGTGGTTGAAGGTTGTGGCCTGGACATGGTACCTGGAGAGGATAATCTCGCCACCCGTGTTGCCTCCGTCTGATCTGCTGGTCGGCGTGGCCGTAGTCGATGATATCCCCCAACCATCCGCTGCTAGCTTGTCGTAGATGAGAGGCGCTTTTCCATGCGAGATGTGTGTTTCAACCAATGCCACCATCTGATGTTGTTTGCCTGGCCCTGCCAGCCATTTCTCGGACTGTGGCCCCCACTGGGTAATGTTGGAGAAGAACAGGGAGTGATCTGACGGCGTGGGCTTCGTAGGGCCTTCGTCTTGGTAGACGGTCTGGGGTCGGGTCTCGGGCTGATGGGCTTCCATGGGCCTTTCACTGCGGTCAAGTCGACAGCTTTCGCCATCTCATCGCCCCCTACCAAGGGCTGCGTCTTGGGCGGGGCGGCATCAGGGTGTGCCGTTGGCAACGGCTCCCCTGGTACCTGTACCACATGCCTGTCGACAGCTTGGGCCGTCTCGTCGCTCCCTACCGAGGACAGCGTCTCGGGCGGAGCGGCATCAGGGTCGGCTCGCGCGGCACGCTGCGGCTGCCCTGGGTCCCATGCCACTGGGTCGACGGACTGTGCCGCCTCATCGCCCCCAACCGAGGACAGCGTCTCGGGCGGGGCGGTAGCGTACTGAACTGTGGCTGCGAAATCGATGTGGGCGTCCAACTCGGCCAGCTCGTCGAAAGGGTCGAGGACTGCGTCCAGTGTGTTGATGATCGGTGGGTTGTCGTAGTTCTTGGTCTCTGACGGTAGGCGCCCCGTCTCACCATTCCGTCCAGGGTCGGGTAGTAGGCGGCTAAAGAGGCTGCTGCGCTCCAGCCGCGGCGGTCGCAGTGGGCTTGCGCATCTGGCTGAGCATCTTCTGTGCCTTGTCTTCGAGGTCGGAGTCCTTGTTGATCGCTGGTACAGGCTGTGCGGCGAAGCTGCTGTCAGAAGTAGCGCCAGCAGCAAGTGCGGGAGGCTCATCGCTTGGCGCCGCTGGCGAAGAGGCCGCAGTGCCATCCGCGTCCGCTGCGGCTGCCGCTGGGGGTTCGCCTGCTGCCGCCGAGGCGGCGGGCGGTGGTCCACCTCCCTCTCGGGCGTGTCCGTCCTCGTCGGACCGCTGTCGCTTGGAGGCGAAGCGCGTGCGCATGGTGCTGGCCTCTGCGCGGAGCTGGCTGATGCGGCTGGCGGTGTTGCCGAAGAGCTCGGTGACCTTGGCCTTGAGCTCCGTGGCGAAGCGCTGTTGGAGGGATTCCCATGCCTGGCGGTCACTGTCGTCGATGTCGAGGCCTTGGAGATCGAACGCCGAACCCGCTTCGATGGATATGTCGCCGTCCTCGAGGAGGCTGGTGAGGTTGAACGTCGGGTTCTGCTGCGAGGCCGTGGGAGTAGCAGTGCCGCCCTTGCGAGCGACTTGGAGTGCATCGAGAGCCGCTTGGGCCTCGGCCTGGGCTTCTGCCAACTTGTAGGCGGCCTCCTCCGACGCCGCCTTGCGCTCGGTGTACCAGCTGAGCGCCTTTTGCTCGCTCTCGAGCAGCCTCTCCAGGTTGTTCTTGCAGCGGCGCTCCGTAGCCTGGGCGCGGCTGTAGATGTCGTTGAGGTCGGCTGGCTTCTGCGGCTGGGGCGGCGGAATCTGCGACTTGATGCCGTCGATGGCTGCCTTGTCGATGTGGGGGGCGATCGCCTGGAGCTCCGCAAGGATGTCCTCTGCGGAGCGCGCCTTGGGGGTGTCGTTCTTGTTGGCCCACCAGTCGTCCTCTTGGTTCTTGCCATTGCCATTGCCGCGGCGGCGGCGGGACTTGGGCCATGAAGACCACGGTTCCCATCCACCCTCGGGGCTGGGCTGCTGGGTGCAGTTGGACTCGGCCTGGGCTGCGGCCTTGGCGCGGGCCGCCCAGGCACCTTGAACTGGAGGCGGGGAATCTGTCCACGGCGCCAAGGCTTTGCTGCACCAGTAGCACGTCTGATTGGTCTTATAGTTCTAGGCGTACGAGCAGGAGTAGCACTTGACGTAGGCGCTGCGCTGCTGCGGACGCGCCATGGACGAGCTGAGGAACGGAGAAAGCTCACCTGCGGGCTGCAGGAGGCACACGGAGAGTTGAACAAAGCTGTCGGGCTCAAGAGCCCTGGCACTGGCCGCGGACTAGCGGTATCCACTTGTTCCACTGTGGAACTAGGCATCTTGAGCCAAAATGGCTGGAGGAGGGGGAGGACGGAGGAGGAGGAGGAGGAGGACGAGGAGGAGGAGGTGGAGGAGGAAGGAGGAGGTTGAAGGAGGAGGAGGAGGAGGAGGAGGAGGGAGGAGGAGGAGGGAGAAGGAGGGAGGAGGGAGAAGGAGGAGGCGGAGGCGGAGGAGGAGGAGGAGGAGCACGGGCCGTAGCCATTTTGGCTCAAGTCCGGAGCGGTTTGCTCAGGACGAGAGTTTTCTTTGGCAAGGGGATCCGCGGCCCCACCTGTTCCACACCTCGAGACTGTATTAAGTTTTCATCCCTCATCGCCTTTGCGTACCTCCGTGTACTTGTTCCCTGAGCTTGCCTTGTGGGTGCCTGAGCTTGCCTACACCAATGCGTCACCGCAACGGACTAAAGGTAACGTGTTTGTCTCGTGGGTGCTTGAGCTTGCCTACATCAATGCGCCACCACAACGATCTAAAGGTAACGTGTTCGTCGTGCGAGTGTCAAAAAACACAAAAGCAACAACAACACTAAACGACGGAATAGCTCACTGCATCAATAAAGATGGCGTCACTTACGACGGGGCTACACTTGAGTTTACAGATACGTGCTCGCTACGTGTCCAGTATCGGCACCAGCGTCGTCGTTAGCAATGGCGCCCTCGCCACCATCTTCATCGCCAAAATATTCTCATCACCATGCAACTCCATCACGCTCAGTCGCCGTTTTGGCTCAAGAAGGCGTCTGGCGTCGGTCGCGTGTGCAGCATACTTGTCTTGTAAACAGGTTGCGCGCCGATGGCTAAAGTCACTCAGCCTCCTGATGGTAAGCGCGGTGCCGACCTCACTATTGAGGCACTGCGGCTAGCTGCTGCCCCGACGCCTCCGAAGCTCCCGAAAGTCGTGCAGGCGTTGCGAGACAGGCTCGCGGATCCAAGCTGTAAGGTCACGCCAGATCTGCTGAAAGACGTGTTCGACAAGAGGGAGTACACCAACTTCTGCAACTCGTTTCGGGCGACGCTGACGTCATAGCGCAAGGGGCAGTTCAAGAACATGCCGCAGGAAGACATGGACTTGAGGATCAGCCAGTGGGCCATGGACTCAGCCGGTGCCAAGCTCAACGGCTTCAATCGCACAACAACGTACACCGACAACCACATCCGCGAGGAGGACAAGTGGGTCACCGAGTCCGTGCTGGCAAGCCCGAACTGGCTGAATAACGCCGAGCATGCGCGCATCTTGGTGTAGAGCACGGAGTTACCCGAGCGCCCGTGCAGGTACCAGTGCTTGGCGAAGGAGGGTGCCATGGAGTACAGAGTGACGGACGAGATTTACATGCGTTGCAAGGGCCTGAAGAAAGAGAATGGGGTTGAGGCCCAAACCGAACTAAGGGAGGATGAATACAACGGCGTGACAGATAGCCTCACAACCGCGAAAGAAGACCTGACCAAGGTTACGGCGGTCATCAAACCCAAGCCAAAGGAGAAACACATCGACTCCAAGAAGAAGGAGCTCGCGACAGCCAACGGCAAGCTGCAGTCCAGCCTGCGAGCCTACAAGAAGAAATTGGATGCTGTGACGACTAATGCTGAGGCGATTGTAGCGAAGTTGCCTGGCCTGAAGGCGAAGGGCTACCCCGACTCTGTGGAGACGTTCTACATGGAGCAGCTGGCCAAGCTCAGCGCGGAGATCGCTAAGAAGAAGCTCTGGTACTCTTCCCATACAGACGAGATTGACGATGTCAAGAACAGCACCAAGGCGGTGGACGCCGAACTCGCTTCCCTGACCGCCGAGAAGAAGTCGTTCGACGAGCAGTACGGCGATGACCTGAAGAAACTCAGCACGGTCTCTGCGCCGCCTACGGCCTGAGCGAGCATGCGGGAACTGTTCGAGCACACGCATGGGGGATGCGGCGAGGGGTCGCCGCTGGCGTCGTGCGCTACCCACGGGTAGCTCCAGAAACCGAGCGCACCTGGAGGCCGCGCAAAGTGGGGGGATGGTGCGACGACTCAGGGGGAGGGCGCAGGCACCTTATGAAAACCTTATGTCGACATAACTTCATAAGTATGGTTATAAAGATGAAACAACATATGCCAACATACGCCTCATGAAACATAAGAAATTCATAAGGTGTTCATAGGGTGCTGCCGCCCTCCCCCCCAGCCAGCCCTCGCCTCGGCGTGCGGTCGTCAGTCGTTGCGCTCCAAATGGGAGCGACTGCACGTCGGACCATGAGTAATTGGGCTCAGCTGTGGGGCAGCTGGGCATAGAGACATGCAGAAAGAGAGAGGTGGCATGTGGCAACGTGTAGCAAACGATTGTCGTCGCAGAGTCCCCTACCCCTATGCCGCCCAGATCCCCCGCGCTCTCTCCGTCGACCCTCCTTCCCTCCTCCCCCCTACCTTATCCCGCTTCCCTCCTCCCTCGCCCCCCCTCCCCGCCTCGCCCCGCACTCCCACCTCAAGACCGATGGGGACCGAAGGCACCGCAGGGGGGATTCCAGGGACCGCGGGGGACCGAGGGGGCCGAATGATCGAGGGGGACTGAGGGGGACCGAGACGGATCGCGGGGGGCCGATAGGGGACTGAAGCGAACCGAGAGGGACCGAAGGGAGTCGCGTCGACACCTGTTGGGAGCCGTCCCCAACGTCGTGCTCGTGGCTATCGTCGTCGCCGCAACCGGCACCCACGCCCACATTCTCGCCACCGTCGCCCACACAGCATCAACTTATCAAGAACACATTCACGCTCGTCATCACCATCATCATCATCATCATCATCATCATCATCATCATCATCATCATCATCATCATCATCATCATCACCATCATCATAATCATCATCATCATCACCATCACCATCACCATCACCATCACCATCACCATGATCATCATCATCATCATCAGCAGCAGCATCATCATTATCATCATTATCACCACCACCACCATCATCATCATCATCATCATCATCATCATCATCATCATCATCATCATCATCATCATCATCATCATCATCATTATTCGCATCATCATCATCAGCATCATCAGCATCATTACCATCATCATCATCATCATCATCATCATCATCATCATCATCATCATCATCATCATCATCATCTCGATCACCATCCGCAGCCGTCTTGGCTCATGGTGAAAGGGGGTATTCGGCAACGCCTTGGCATCAGCAGCGACAAGCCCAAACGAACGAAGCTTGGATCATTATTACTAAAATCGTACCTCCATGGTAAGACGACTTCGCATGAGTTGCGACAGGGCTGCGTCGCAGCTGAGTCTTCGGCAGGCGATCTGGGTCGTCTCGGCAAGAGGGAGCTCGAACAACTTAGAACTCGGCGCAACAGAACTCGGACCGACACTCGTGGCTCAGCCAAAGCCGTCAGAAAGTTTCTTGCAGAGAGGTCGAAGCTATACCCGATCTACACTGCAGAGATACCACTCTGCGACGCAATTCCGTGCCAACAAATCTTTGTTCCCGTGAGTTTCCTCCCGATCCACGAGACCTTAGACGCCGTCGTCGAGGACCCCAATCAATTGGCGTCCATCGATGCACCACAATCAGCCATGTACGACTCCCTTGTGGAATGGGGGGCTCGGTTGGCTGTCGATATATTCAATGGTGTATGGATGTTGCTTGCCCTGTGGGGCGATTCAGCCCCTTTACTCGAAAAGAGACAGCGTTTATCTCTTGACGTTTCGGGTGCTCAGTGGTGTGTTTTGAAAAAGGTTTTGGGTCGTCGCCGTGTCCAAAAAGGCGACTATGTCAGTGTGGAGACGCAGGCAAGTGCACATTCGATGGGATATTCGACGTCGTTCGATGGTCAATGGATGCAGTATTGAGCGGGCACTGGCCCAAAGTGGACCACACAGGCCGCAAACTAGGTGGCTGGCGTGGGAAGCGCGGTGGGCAACAACTTCGCTTCAACGCGGCTTGCATTGGAAACGGCAGGCGACTGGGCGTGGCACAAGCAGATTCTCGGCTTGGGAGGGTGGCACGGCCGTAAGAAATGTTGGTTGTGTCAAGTTTATTTTGACGATCACGATTTCTCGCAGTGCGCAACAGGGAGATCAACGTGCATAACTATGCCTGGGTTCGTATCATCGGTGCAGTGCGGGCACCAATACGCATCAAGCATGTGCTCAACACCTGGCTTTCGAGTGTCATACGTACAACCAGATTGGATGCACACCGTACGCCTTGGCATCGTACATGATCCCGCAGGGAACACGGTGTGGGAACTATATAAAACAGTTTGAGGGTCGTTTAGTCAGCACTTGGGAGCTTACTCAAACACATGATAGACCTTGTATGCCGCCAGATGGGCGTCGATGTGCCGTTTAGTTATCTCACATACTCAATGATCAGGTCGAAGCCATCAAAACAACCTAAGATGAAACTGAAGGCAGCATAATCCCGTGCCTTCCTGCCTGTGTCGACACATATGATTGCCATGCTCTTCCTAACACAATCAGGCATAGAACACCTCCGTTTAGACTGTTGTAAAGCCATGTGCCGATGCTATTTGGAGCTGCGTCAATGGAACGCAGCTGAGTCTTCAGAACGCTTGGAGCGGTTTGCCCGCCAGCATCTCCTACTGTACGTAGAGTTGCGCCTCGCTGCTAGCTCGGATCTCGAGTAGGCGATGTGTCCGAAACACCACTTGTTCGCTCACGTTTCAAAATCAAATTTGAATCCAGCGTTGCTGTGGAACTACAGTGGCGAAGACGAGATTGGTAAGGCAGCCGAATCAGCTGGCAAGTGTAACGTCCAGCATTTGCATTCGTCGTTGCTGGGTGTGTATCGCTGCCAAGAGATGCGTTGATGAGTCCTCGCCTGCTTGTGCGCTAGGGGTGTTGCCGACCATTCGGTGGAGGTTCGGGGACAGTCGGGCGGGGAGTGCATTGAAGTGGGACTGGGTATGTATGATTAGCTTGAAGCTTGGCGTAGGCAATGGGTGTGACTTGCCTTGCCGTGCAATTGAAAACCACATCAACAACGGAGGAGAGAGGAGGAGGTGGAGGAGGAGGTCGAGGAGGAAGACGATGAAGACAAGGAGGAGGAGGACAAGGAGAACAAAGAAACAACGGCACCTAGCTGCACCGAAAGAAAAAACACTCTTGGGGGGGGGCAACCCCCGCTCTCTGCCGACCATGGTGTTGCTATGCCCAAGTACGATACATGAAGATGGCCCCAACGAATGAATGGTAGGTGTAGGCGAGCACTCTAAGGGGGAGGGGGGGCTCGCAGACGGCTCCTGTGGGGCGGCGAAGTTAAATCCTTCATGAGAAATCCGCCCAGGTTTTAGAACATCAAACCTCAACACCTAATGCGGCCCCGGAGCACAGGAAGAGGAGGAGGAAGGGGAAGAAAAGGAGATGGGGGGGCACGAAAAAACGCCTACCTACAACTGCCGTTCGTCGGGGTCGCCATCGGCCTCGTCGGTGAGCGTGCGTTGAATAGTTTTTTTAATAGAAAGGACCCTGAGGCGGAGTGGTTGGCAAGGCTTTCGCCCGCACCGCCGCCCCGTGGTAAACGTAGGGAGAAGGACCACGCAATAATCACTAAGTGTGTATCCGCCCACCCTGCAACCCCATGGTGGCAGAATGAACATAGAAGTTGGAAGTGCAACAGTAGGTGTAAACCACGTCGGAGTAGGAGTCGGGCGTTCACCCCCGCCGCTGCCCCTCAGAATGGGCAGGGGGAACAACGCGCGAAGGAAGCTGTCGCCCTCAGCGCCGCACAGCTTGGAACAACCATCTGAAGTCAACTTGGAGTAAAGCTGCCGCCCCCCGCCGCCGCCCAAGCAAATGCGGGAATAGGAATACACGTAAAACCAACAAGGCTACCGCCCCCACAGCCGCCTCATAGCAGGAGTAACAATCTGAACATATTCTGAATAATCTCACACGGTTGAATGAAAGCAGGGCTTTCGCCCCCACCGCCGCCACATATATGAGCTGACATTTAGTAAAGTTGCTTAATGCGTTTGGCTTTCGCCCCAGAGGTCGCCGCCCCACGGGCTCGAGAACCCGAGGCCAGCGCAAGGCCTCTGGACGCCCCGATGCGGTGCACTTCTGCTCGTTCCACCTGCGTGTGAAAAGCGGCCGAAACGCCAGATGATACATTTTGTCGCGTGGTCTTCATATTGACCACACGACATACCACCTGACATTTCTATGGCGTTTCGACTGGCCTGGGTGGTCGCGGGGCTGGCAGCCGGGTAGGCCGGGGGGCTGGCCGTCGGGTTGGCCGTCGGGCTGGCGTGGGGCTGGCAGGCGGGCTGGCAGTGGGGCTGTCCGTGGGGCTGGCAGCCTGGCTGGCCGTGGGACTGGCCGCGGGGCTGGCAATCGCGCGGGCCGTCCGGCTGGCCGTGGGGCTGGCCGTAGGGCAGGCCGCGGGGCCAGCCGTGGGGCTGGCAGTCGGGCTGGCCGCGGGGCGGGCCCACGGGCTGGCCGTCGGGCGGGCCGCGGGGCTGGCAGCCAGGCAGGCCGCGCACGTGCTGGCAGTCGGGCGGCACGGGGGGCAGGCCGCCGAAGTGGCCTTGGGGCTGGCCGTGGGGCTGGCAATCGGGCAGGCCGGGGGGCTGCCGCCGGGCTGGCCGTGGGGGAGGCCGTCGGGCAAGCCACGCGGCGGCGCCGGCCACCGCGCCAACCGCCGCCGCCGCCGCCGGCGTGGAACCGACAGCGGCGGCCGCAGTGGCGGCGGCAGCGGCCGCCGCGACAGCGGCCGCCACGCCGGCCACGGCCCGCCCGCCGCCGCCGCCGCCGCCAGAAGGGAGCCAACGGCGGCGGCAGCAGCGGTGGGGCGGCGGTTGCGGCAGCAGCAGAGGCGGCCGGCAGGGGCAGCGGCAGCGCCCAGGGCCGCGACGCCGGAGGCGGCGGCGGCGGCGGCGGAAGCAGGGCCCGAGAGGGTGCCGCCCTCGGGCGGCGGCGCGGCCGCAGCGGCCGAGGCGCCGCCCGACGCTGCTGCCGCCGCCAACGCGGAGCCACCCGCGCCCGCCGCAGAGTGGGCGGCCGCGGCAACATGGGGCGCGGCCGCGCGCGCGGCCAGCAGGGCCGCGCGGGCCCCAGCGGCGACGGCCAGCCAGAGGCCGGCGGCCGCCGCGGCCTCCGCGGGGTCCAGGGCAGCGCCGCACTTGGATGGCCGCGGCGGCTGCTAGGTGGTTAGCGCGGATACTAAGGGGTTAGAGGATTTAGTATGTACGTACAAGTGAGTTGTAAGTAGGTTATAAGTGTTGTAAGTCGGATGTAAGTTGTATAACCAGCTACAACTGGTTAGTAGGAGATACTAACCACTTATAGCTGGAGGCTAACCTTGCTAAGTCTCTAGTAGAGGTTCGCTCGCTAAGTCCCCACTCTAGCTACCACTTGCTAACCACTTAGTAACCACTTAGCTGCCACTTAGTAACCACCCAGTAGCCACTTACTAACCACTTAGTAACCACATAGTAAGTCCGCTAGCTAGCTTACTTACTAAGTGGTTAGCGGACTTACTAAGTGGTTAGCGGACTCTGAGAAGGAGAAGGAGGAGGAAGAGGAGGAGGAGGAGGAGGAGGAGGAGGAAGAGGAGGGGGAGAGAGGAGGAGGAGGAGAAGGAGGAGGAGGAGGAGGAGAAGGAGGAGGAGATGTCGAGGAGGAGGAGGAGTAGGAGGAGGACGGGGAGGAGGATGAGGAGGAGGAGGAAAGGGGGAGGCGGCGGCGGAGGCGGCGACGGGCGCGCCTCAGCCCAAGACGGCCGCTCGACGCGGCGGCCCTGCAGGGCCGCCGCGTCGAGCGGCAGCCTGGCGCGGCTGAGCGCGGCGCAGGCGAAGTTCGCCTGCGCCGCGCTCTGCGCCGCCATCTCCAGCGGCATTGCCGCTGGCGCGGGCGGCGGGGGGGGCCCCGCGCGCCGCTCGGCAGCCAGAGCGGCCCACCGCACGTAGCCGTCGTCCACAACCCAGAGGGTTGGGGGACGACGACGTGCGACGGGCCGATGGCTGCCGAGCCCGTCCCACCCCTCGGGGATGTCGAGGAGGATCCCCGACATCCCCGAGGGGTCCTCCGAGAGGAGACTGCCCCATGGCTCGGGGTCGCCATCGAAAAACATGTCTTGATATGTTTTTCGATGGCGATCCCGAGCCGCGAAGCAAAGGGAAAAGGGAGGGCGCGCTCCCCGCGCGGCCTGTAAGCCGCACGCGCGCGGGCGGCGTCTCCTCCTCCCCCCTCCTTCTATCCTCCTCCTCCTCCTCCTCCTCCCTCTCCTCCTCCTCCTCCTCCTCCTCCTCCTCCTCCTCCTCCTCCTCCTCCTCCTCCTCCTCCTCTCCGCCTCCTCCTCTCGCCCTCCTCCTCTCGTCATCATCATATACTCCTCCCTCGTCCTCCTCCTCCTCATCCTCCTCCTCGTCCTCCTAACCCTCCGCTCCTCCCTCGTCCTCCTCCTCCCCCCATCCCCTCCTCATCCTCCTCCTCCTCCTCCTCCTCCTCCTGCTAGCCTTCTCTCTCTCTCTCTCTCCTCTCCTCCTCCTCCTCCTCCTCCTCCTCCTCCTCCTCCTCCTCCTCCTCCTCGTCCTCCTCCCTCCTCCCCTCGCTCGCCCCCCCCCCCCCCCTCCTCCCATCCTCCTCTCGCTCTTAGCTATCTCGTCGTTTTCATCCGCCTCGTGCTCCTCCTTCTCTTCGCCGTGCTCGTCGTCCTCCTCCTCCTCGGCGGCCTCCTCCTCCTCCTCCTCCTCCTCCTCCTCCTCCTCCTCCTCCTCCTCCTCCTCCTCCTCCTCCTCCCCCTCCCCCTCCCCCTCCTCCACCCTCCCCCCCTCGTCAGAGGAGGAGGGGGAGAGGAGAGGAGGGGGGGGGAGCAAGATGAGGAGGAGGAGCAGCAGTAGGAGCAGGAGGAGGAGGGGGAGAAGGGGGAGGATGAGGGGAAGGAGGAGTTTGAACGACCGCACCACTGATCAACGACATTAGCGCTGCAGCGCAAGAGGAGGAGGAGGAACGAGGCGGAGAAGAGGAATCGGCGACCATGCACTGTTCAGGTGCTGCAGCACCGAAGTGTCAATGAAAAAGGTGCGCTACAGCGCAATGCAGAAGGAATCCACGTTTTCAAGGCGGGGAAGAGGAGTCGTCGACCATGCAACGTTCAGGTGCTGCAGCACCGAAGCATTTAGCAATGTAAAAAAGTGCGCTGCAGCGCCAGTAAGGAATCCACGTTTTAGGCTAAAGCGCACCACCGCGGCTGCGACCATATCGGGCGCGCCACTCGGATGCCGCCGCCCTCGCGCGGCGCCCACGCGAGCGAGCACACGATGCTCGCCGTGTGCGCCCAAAAGGCGTCGGCATCGCCGCCGAGCACGTGCGCGGAGGCGCGCGGGTGCAGCTTCTCCTTGAAGAAGTAGGGCAGGACCAAGCTCAAGCCATAGCAGTGGCCGTTCTTGGTGAAGGAGAGGTGTTTCAACACCTCGGCCGCAATGTGTTCCCCTCCTCCGTCCTCCAACAGCACGGCGTCGCCGTATTTGACGTCGTGGTAGCGGCACCGCGCTGCAGCGGACGCAGCAAAGTCCGCAGGCCCGAACTGCTGCAGCAGTTCGCGCGAGATGGCCTTGGACGGCCTGGTGGCGTTAACCAGGCAGTTAACCTTAAAGGTGTCGCCATCCATGAGCTGCCACAGGTGCCGCTCGGTGACGCTCTTCAGGACATTGGCGCCCCAGCCGCTGGAGGCTGCAGCCCCCACCTGAAGAGCGTTCGCAAAGCGCTTGCTGGTCTTGTGCTTGCGCTCCAAAACCCAGCACGACGGCAGCGCCACATGGCCCCAACGCCTCACGTAGTTGGCGAAGTGGTGCAGGTAATGGAACTTCTGCGCCATCGTTTCCTTGCCAAAGACGCTGCTGTATGACAACAAAAACATGTTAACCGCAGCCTGCAGCTTATCCGCGTCTGCCTGACGCCTGGATACTCGTAGGATTTCTTCCACAACGATCGTGTGCGCCTCGAACACTGCGCAAGCAGATCGGACTGCAGGCGCTGCAGCGTCGCTAGCCACCTCCCTGAAGAAACACGTCAATCCGCCCGCGCGAACGCATGTCCGAACAAGAGGGGTGCAGTACATATCCTACAGAAATTCACGTGCGCTGCAGCGCATGTATTATTGGTCTGGCGGGGGCGCGAAGCATGCAATGATACTTGCATGGTTGTGAGCCCCTCGCTGGCGGTACACTTGAAATGCTTGCTGTCAACGTGGGACCTCACGCGCTTCTCGCCGAAGATCGCGCACGTGTCGGGGGAGATGGAGTGGCGCCCTGGAAACGACCAGTCCTGGAAATATGCGTCTGCGCGCGCCCAGTAACCCTTCAACCTTCGAAACATTTGGAACACCAGAATGTTATATGTACCGTTGACGAAAATACAATGCATCCAATCAAACATGACTGTCTCGAGCGGCTTGAGTTTCCGAACCCGCTCAGGCAAATGGGGGTCCCAGTTCCAGCCAAGTCGGCGCTCCAACTCCTGGAACTCGCCCTTGTTCATGACGTTGACCCCTTCGATCAATCTGTTGCAGATGGCATCGAGCAACGGCGCCGTCATCGGCTGCAGCCGCGACGCATCTGGTTCCGAGTGGTGAACAGCGACACCCGTCGCATCAGAAGCAACTATATCCCGAACTTCGCCCTTCAAGAACACGTTGCGGCACATAAAACATGGTTTGATTCCTGACGAACCTTTCATTCCGATCAAGCGGTGTATTGCATCCTCGTCCGCGATCCGACAGAGCCGCTGCAGCGACGCAAGAAGGCGTAATGGATATATACATGTGCACATGTATGCTAACTAATCTTGGGTGCTATGCGGCGACCGCTGCAGCGGCTGAATGTAAATTCCGAGGTCCATCTGGATGAGCTCCGTCGCGCCGTCGGGGCGCAGCCGCAAGCTGATGCCTGCGCTGAAGTTGTGCCCCTGATCAGGCCAGAACTGCGCGAGGATTGCGTCCAGTAGCATCGTCAGTCCGTGCGGCTGGATGTCGCTCGCGGTCTTGGCCCGCATCGTCGCGAGCTGGAACCGCGCATCCTGCGAACAAATCGCAGCACAACTGGCGCTGCAGCGCCTCTCTCTCTCTCTCTGTCTCTCTCTCTCTCTCTCTCTCTCTCTCTCTCTCTCTCTCTCTCTCTATCTCTCTCTCTACCCCCCTCCCCCCCCCCCGCATATATCGTTGCTGCAGCAACGCTATCGCGAAAGTCCTCCGACGAAAGCGCCTGCGGGCCGAATTCCGCGATCGTCCAGTAGATGCCCCACGACTTGCGGTTCTGCACGTGCGCCAGCGCGTTGCCAGCGCCTATTTCATCGCCGTAAATGATGATGTGCCACGGGCGTGGCAGCTCCAGCGCCCGCTGCCACAGAGGCTGCATCGCGGGGAGGGCGCTGCAATACCACAGCATTGCTGCTGGACTGCAGATCTCCACCGTGTGCTGCCCGACTACCATGTTCTGGTGGAGCTTGCCGTACGGCGTGTTCTCACCGACCATGAGCTCCCGAGCGTCTCTGATATCCTGGCGTCGGGATCCCAATTCGGGGGTTCCGTCTCGCTTAACGGACGCCAGGAATTGCGCCATCGCATTACAATGCATGAATGGCAGTTCCGCGCGAAGGCGGGACAGCCGCCGCAGCTTCGCTGGGCGGTCGTCCTCTGCCGCCATCGCGCGCGTTCCCGAGGCAAGCTTGCCTCCGTCGCTGCGCGCGCGCGGAGGGGCCCCTCCGCTAGGGGCCACGGCGACTACGGATGGAAATGAGGCTGCACCGCGTGGAGAGCAACCAAATGCGCGCTGCAGCGCTAACTGCCAAGCAACAGTCTGGGAGCACATGGCGCTACAGCGCCGCTAACGTTCAATGATGACAATCTGACGCGCTGCAGCGCGAACGTCCTCCTCCTCCTCCATCCTGCTCGCCATCCCCCTCGTCCTCCTCCTCTTCCTCCCCCTCCTATACCTCCTCCTCCTCCTCTTCCTCCTCCTCCTCCTCCCCCCCCTCCTCCTCCTCCGCCTCATGCGCCCCCTCATCCTCCCCATCCCCCTCCTCAACCTACCCATCCTCCTCATCATCCGTCTCCCGTCCCTTCATCCTCCCCGTCACCATCACCTTCATCGTCAACAGCATCAATATCACTCGCCCTCATCATCCGCCACATCACCATCCAACGAGA